CACTGTTTAATTTTAATTTCTTTGAGGATTAAGACTGTGTTTAACTCACCTTATAAAAAAAAATCTCCAATACTCAGAACAGGTCCTTAAATAGTACTTATTTAACGACTAAAATTTTCCATGTTATTACAATCTTTCTAAACATATTTATTATCTCCTTTATAATTCAGAACACTGACATAATAATTTACTTAACTATTCCCTAATTACTAGATATTTATGGAGTTTTAAAATTTTCACTATGCCAAAAAAAGATTTGTTTAAATTTAAAATTATTTTGCCTGGCTGTGGTAGCTCAGTGGAGTGAGCCATCATCCTATGGACCAAGAGGACCCAGTCAGGGCATATGCCCAGGTGTGGGCTCAATCTCCAGTAGGGGCAGCTGGAGGCAGCCAATCAATGAGTCTCTCTCATCACTGATGTCTCTATCTCTCTCTCTCCCTCTCCCTCCTCTCTGAAATCAATAAAAATATTTTTTAAAAATGCATTCATGCCCTAACTGGTTTGGCTCAGTGGATAGAGTGTCGGCCTGCTGACTGAATGGGCCCGGGTTCGATTCTGGTCAAGGGCATGTACCTTGGTTGCAGACACATCCCCAGTAGGAGGTGTGCAGGAGGCAGCTGATCAATGTTTCTCTCTCATTGATGTTTCTAGCTCTCTATCCCTCTCCTTTCCTCTCTGTAAAATCAATAAAATATATTTTTAAAAAATGCATTCATTTTCTGGGGGGGAGGAGGGGGAAGAGGAAGAGGCCCAATGTAATTAAATAAATACCAGCTGCAAATATTAGTTGTTGGTAATGTATCAAGCTCATCCTTTGTATCTGAAATAACAAAGAGAATCAGTATGTTCATGTTAGTGAGACTTTCAGGATTCCTTACTAAATTATCAAATATATCTAAGGGATACAAAATAAATCTCTATATCCCAAGTCATTCCTTCATGTATTTGTAAAATCCTCCAAATTGCACGAGGGAAATAAGCCTTTATTCAAAAGGAAACTTTAAAGGTTGAATACAAAGACAGATGAAGTGTAAGTATATTCTAACCTGTCTGATAGTAAATCACTGTTAAAAGGGAACTGATAAAAAGGCGATAACTGACTTTGTACATATAGCCTAACGTCAGTGAATGTGTAACAAGATCAGTCACTTTCCTGGTGGGCATGACTGTCTTCTGTTTGACAGCTAAACTATAATGAACAAACAAACAAAATAAAGCCTACTAACTGCCTGATCAGTTTCCACCATTTAATGCAGCAGCCAATTCAATCCTGCTACATAATTGATTCCAGCTATAAATCCAGCAGTGTCTGCTCTGTAGTACATACTTAAGTGTTTTTTGTGTTATTGTTGTTGTTGTTTTTTTTTGGGGGGGGGGGGAATCTGCTAGTTGCAACAATATCTAACATGAGGGGACTGTAAATGTAATAGAAAGGGAAATTATAAAAGAGACACCCACTGCACATACCATGAAATTGTGTTAGCCCTGTATTCCAGTACTAAATCCTACCTTGATGATACACTTGCCAAATCCCTTTAGACCACCATTACTTTATCTGTGAAATGTAGTGATTTTATTAACTTCAGCATCACTTCAAGCTAAAGAACTGGAGTTGACATAAATGGATTATGTTCATAGGATTTCATAACGGGGTTTTCTTAGGGGATTTTAAATGATGCTCTCCGTAAAATATTTTAGAATGTAAATAATCTTCAGGCAAGGTGAAAAGGTTTCTGACCTCCTCCCTTCCCCAACAACGTTGTTCAGTCCTGTAAGGGTAATTTTCCAGCTTTCTGAGGTATGCCCTCTCCACCTCCAAGTGTCTGGCACAATGTCTTTGCTCACAGCACACATTTCAAAGGTCAACTCCAGAGAAGCACAGCTATGAAATGCAAGGTCAGCTTTTATTCCAAGCTCATAAGGAGCACAGGAGTGGAGGTACGGTGGGAGGGACAAGGACAGTGAGGTGGGAGGGGGAGATACAGGCTTCCAAATGTCCAAGGTGTGAAAAAGAAGAATTTTAAAACTAGGAATAAACTGGGGCTCAGCATTAAGTCCTAGTTAATTCATAAAAGGCCCTTATCTTAATTTCTCTTTCTTATAACCTAGCACGTAATAGGTTTTCAATTAAGATCAAAGAGAAGAAAGAAATGATGCCCAGGTGAGAGTAAAACAGGATTGCCCTCCACTATCTCATTTCATAACACAGCTTCGTGTTTAAGTATGTGGACCCCGGGTTCAAACCGGTTCTGTCAGTTACATTTCGCCTCCACACTCTTCTCATCTGTAAAATGGGCAACAGGGCTACTCTCCGGATTAAATGAGTGAATATACGCAAAGAACTTAGAACAGTGTCATTGTTCTGAGTGCACGTTCGGCTTCCTTAATAAGATCTCTTGAAGGCACGGTCCTAGCTTCTGTTTCCTTAGCACCGCGCGCAATAGAATACGCAATGTCTGCATATCATTTAAAACAAAGGAACCGAGGCTACGCGCTAGGTTACGACCGTCCAGGAGGCCGACGTGGAAAGCGGCGAAGGCGGAGAAAGGCCGCGACTCCGCGCCCCCGGCCCACGCGAGGCCGCCACTTGGTCAAACAGAGCAAAGTCCTCTGGGAAGTGTAGTCTTTAGGCCTCGAGAGGGATTTCAGCCACGGGCCCGAGCGATTTAGTTGGCGGGGGGGAGGGAGTCGTAGTTAGCGAATAATTCAAAAGTGTTGGTAGCCCGAGAGGTGGGTGAAGCCGCTCACCTGAGTCTCCCAACACCAGGACCTTTACCCGATCCAGGGACGCCATCTTGCCACAGCCTTCCGGGGTTCACGCCTATTCCTGATTTTCAGCCAATCAGAGCTGGGCATGGAGGGCGGAGCCTTCCCTGTCATTGGCCAATCGGAGTGTGACTCGCCTCACGGACGGCTTCGCTGTGCTGATTGGCCGGCTCGGTTGAAAGTAGCGGGTGGCTCCCAAAGCTGGTCGCAGGAATAAGGCGTTCTCTTTGTCGCACTAATGGCGAGGCTCGCTGGAGCCGGTAGTTGAGGCGCTGAGGGAAGCTGTAGTGCCAGTGTTCGAGGATTCGCCTGGGTAAACCTTGTTCCCTGTTCCTTGTTCTGGGTTTCCTGGCCCGGAGTCGTGTTTCTCCTTTTCGCTCCTTTCTCCTTAGCCACGCTCCTCCTCTCAGCTGCTCTCTGGACTGGGTTCTCTAAAGAGCCTTGGAGCCCGGAGCGGCCCGTGTGCGACCTCGGGCAGGACCACGGGCTCCACCGCGTGTGGCCCCCGCACTCGGCTGGCAGAATCCGAGGGAGTTGGGGGTCGCGCAGTGTGGGGAGGAGTGGACATGACTGCACCGGGCTCGTGGGGGGCAGCTGGGTCCAGAGGTTTCGCGGTGGCCTGCAGCTTTCTTATGTAGGAAGGCGTGGAGAGACCATGAAATGCGGTAACTGAAAAGAAAACCCAAAACCCCAAAAATCCCACTGCAGTTAAATGTATAAGATTCAAATTCGTATAGAACTGGCATAGTAGTATATTGGAATAATCGACTGGATTAATAAACTGGACCACCCCCCCGCAACCTCTTCTTTCTCCGTTTATCTTATACTCTGAGCATCGTCTTTTAAAATTTCAGATTGGGTCCTGTTGCTTCCTGCCTAAAACCATTTGAAATTTAAGAAGAGGGATCCCACTACTAGCCTGTCCTTTTCTGCTCTGGGAGCCGCGGTGGAGGCAGTAGAGTGTGGGGAAGTTGGCGGGACGGGCCTGTGGGAGGAACACGTGCTTGGGGGAGCTCCTGGGAGGTTTAGGGCAGCCCCTGACGAGCGGTGCCGGGTTTTGAAAAGTCAGGGGTGAACGTGATATCCCCGTTCTCAGGTAGATATGAGAGTCCAGGTCTATTCGCTGCAAGGAAGGAGGTTGGGAAAGAGCCTTGGGGGCTTGTGAAATGGGATCGATCACACTGAGCTATTCAGGGGGAATCTAATCTGGGAAGGTCTCCGAGGAAATGCCGTTTGAAATGCGAAGGATGATTAGAAGAGAGTTTGAGCGGGGAGAACAGAATGTGCAAAGGCCTGGAGGTGGGGAAGGCGTATGTGGCTGATGGAGTTGAGAGCGTGCCAGTGTAGCTGGAGATAAGAATGACGGGGTTAGACAGTGCAGGGAACTCATTCATTTCCCTTTTGTTCCTCCAGCTCTGTGCCTGGTGCAGTGTCCTTCTTCAGTGCTTGTATGCCTGCCATGCATATGATTCAAAAACAAGATCTTTGGGGAGCTGTGCTGGGTAGGGAAGTAGGTGAGACTGAGACTCTGAAGCAAAAAAGAAGAAAAAAAAGGGGTTACCCTGAAAGGTTACACACTTAAAAATTTCCAGAAATGCAAACTCTCGTACCCACCCTGTCCCTCTTCATTTTTCATATGGGAACCTGGTCTCACTTTTCCTCATATTTCCAGTTTTCAAGAGGAGCTGAAAGTTGAGATTTATGTGAAATCCCACTATTTTTAATGTTGGCAACTAACTCAGAACATTTTCAAGACATTCTTTTGATCCAACAGTGTGGTAGAGGCTGCCAGTTTGGTACCTCTGACCTAAATAATTTAAGAATTCCAGAGACTGAGTAGGAGATTTAGCATATGTGGGGAGGTAGACGTGATAGAGAAGAGAAGGCAGTGGTCAGGAAGGACGATTTTAGAAGGGAGAAATTTCGAAGGAGGTGGCATGATTTCTTTCCTGAGCTCCAGTTTCCTTCATTCAGCTACCTGCTGGACATCTTCACAGGAATATTCTGTAGAATTTCCTCAAAGAGAAGCAACTAAAAGTGACTGCCTCATTTCTTTCAAACCTGTTTCTCTGCAGGGGTTAGCCTATTTTTTCGTAGTGGTACTTTTCGTGGTTACACTGGCTTAAAACAGATAGCTATATCTTTTTGTATTAATAACGTTCTTGTTTAATGGTTATAGCGTTTCAGTTTTATAAGATGAAAAGAGTTACGGAGATGGATGATGGTGATAGTTATATGATATTATGAATGTATTTAATACCACTGGACTGTATACTTAGAAATGGTTAATTGGTAAATTTTGTTATGTGTATTTTACCATAATAAAACATTTATTTAAAAATAAATATTTATTTGGTTAAAAAAATAACTACTTAAAATTTTCCTGCTTTTTTAAATCCCATTTCCAATATATTATTGGGTCCTTTTGATTGTATTTCTGAAAAGTAGAATTATCTAGGGAGCATTCTGTTCTCTTGCAATAGTTTGCTCTCTTTCTTAGTTCGGATTTGATTACTATAGCTCCTAATACTTCCATATACGTCCATCTTCACTTACCTCGATCCAATCTTCATATTGTTATAAAGTCACTTTTCTAAACAGGAGTTCTTAGTATGAATACCAATGATGGAACTCTTAGGATGCCACCTCTGTAAGCAGCATATTTTTCATGGATTATTTCATTTAATCCATGCATCAACTCTATGAGGAAGGAACTGTTAATCACTTTTTATGCATGAGGAAACAATTTTCAGGGCCACAGGTTAAGAAATGTTGGAACCTGGGATTCAAAACCCAAAACTATTGGACTGAAGAGTCCTCATGCCACCCCCTTGCTCTAATCATTAGGACCCTCTAAGTCAGTGGTTCTCAACCTTGTCTGCACATTAGAATCACCTGGGAATCTTTTTAAAATCCTGATTTCTGGGCCTCATCCTCCCGAAATTCTTTCTTTGTTATGGGGTGGGGCCAAAACATTAGTAACAAAGAAACAGAATTTCTGGAGGATGAGGCCCAGAAATCAGGATTTTAAAAAGATTCCCACGTGATTCTAATGTGCAGCCAAGGTTGAGAACCACTACTCTTAAGTTGTTTCAGGCAGTGGAAACAGGCTGAATAGCAGAGGGTCCTCAATGCATGATGTGTGTTGGCATAATATGTAGTAGCCAGTCACCAGATTTGTCTGGAATAGTGATCAGGGACTTTTTCTGTTTATTGGAGTCACCTAAAGAGCTTTTAAAATATGAAACCTAATCTGATCCTCCCAGACCAGCCGAAACAGAATCTCTGGGAATGGGGCCCACGTGGGTACTTTCAGATGCTTCCTAGATGGTTTTACTTTACAGCCAGGGTTGAGAACCATTGATTCCAGAATATGGAGTGTATGTTGTGGGAGGTCAGGGAGGGGAAATAATGTTGGAAAAGTAGGTTATTTTGACATTTGTCTGCCATTCTTTGGTCTGTTGGATGTTTCTGAAGCCGTATTTTGTGTTCTGCCAATCATTAAGCATATAAAAAACACAAAAGCAGCTGTGTTCAAGTACAGTGTATCAACTAAATTAGAAAGGAGAGCAAAATGCATCTGATAGTATGCTCTAGGTCAGTGATGGCGAACCTATGACACGCATGTCAGAGGTGACACGCGAACTCATTTTTTTGGTTGATTTTTTAAATGGCATTTAAATATATAAAATAAATATCAAAAATATAAATCTTTGTTTTACTATGGTTGCAAATATCAAAACATTTCTGTATGTGACACGGCCCCAGAGTTAAGTTAGGGTTTTTCAAAATGCTGACACGCCGAGCTCAAAAGGTTCGCCATCACTGCTCTAGATACTTTGGTGTTGAACCCAGGCACTTGCTTGGCACCCTGATCCTTGGAATAACAGGAAGGTGGTAAGACCACAGGTTTGGATCTAGGTGCTACTTTGTTATCTCATAGTCAATGCCTGAAGGTTTACAATAGGAAATATATATTTAATTGTAACTAACTTTCCTTTAATTTTTTCCTTTATTGCATGTAGGGCATTATATCCTCCCCCCCTTCTCCAAATGTGTATAGGTTGGTTATTTAGGAATATCTTTTTAGTATAATACTGTGAATATAAAAATATTTCTTATGAAAGGAGATACTTTTGATAGCCACTGATTTGAAATAAAAAGATTCAGTAGATAGCAGTGTTAATAACAAAAGATGATTCCCTTTTGAAATTATTCAATGGGATGTCTCTTAAAAATTTCCCTATGGTATAGGGAATTTCATTTGACAGTATGTCTGGATAGCCCGACCATTTTTACTTTGGGACATATTAAATCTATATGGAAGCTATTTTTTTAAAAAAATGTTTTAATTGATTTTTTTTTTTTTTTTTTGAAAGAGAGAGACATCAGTGTGAACATCAATTGGTTGCCTCCTGTACCCACTCTGACCAGGGATCTACCAGGGAACAACCCGCAACCTGGGTGTGTGCCCTGACTGGAAATCAAACCGGCAGCCTTTGGTGCATGGGACAATGATCAACCAACTGAGACACCCCCACAAGGGCGATGTGGGAGCTGTTCCTACTAATAAGTGCTTCCTAAGCACATTACTTACATTCTCATTTATTCATCACAACAACCTGATTGAGATAGCTGATACGGTTATTCCGCTAAGAGAATAAAGTATGGCTTGTGGTGGTTTAAGTGATTTGCTTAGGATCACAAAGCTACTAAAACACAGGTTGTCCAACTCTGACTTCCAAAGCCCATCCTTTAAAACAATCACATGAAAATCTAGCCCAGGGGATGGGCAAACTTTTTGACTCAAGGGCCACAATGGTCTTACACTGTGGACCAGAGTGCCGGAACAAAAGCATGGGGTTCTTAAACTGGACCGGAGGGCCGGAACAAAAGCATGGATGGAGTGTTTGTGTGAACTAACATAAATTCAAAGTAAACATCATTTCATAAAAGGGTCCGGTCTCTTTTTTTTTTAGTTTTATTCATTTCAAACGGGCAGGATCCGGCCCGCGGGCCGTACTTTGTCCATGGCTGGTCTAGCCCATGCCATTTTGGGCTTCAAAAAGAAAGATTTTGGGGTTATGATATAAGAATTGGGTACAATTGTTTTGCAAGGAGGTCCAGTATTTAACGATATCTTGGGGTGTTTGTGTGCTTTTTAAGAACTATATGGTATTAATTGGTCATTAGATTTAAGGTAACAAGGTTGGTAAAGCTATCTAGATCTAAGTGTTAATTTATTTCATATTTATAGTAAAATTTTGCTAAGCACCCCAGTTGATGATTACTTATGTGTTTTTTGGTTTGTTGTGATTTTATTGTGGAAGCATGACTATGTAAAACATTCTAGAATCTATCCTGAGAGAAATTTTCTTTAATTATATTTTTTAACCCTCAGCTAAGGATATGTTTTTATTGATTTTAGAGAGGGAGGGAGGGAGAGAGAGAGAGAAAAATACTGATGTGAGCCCTAACCAGTTTGGCTCAGTGGATAGAGCGTAGGTCTGCAGACTCAAGGGTCCCAGGTTCAATTCCAGTCAAGGGCATGTACCTTGGTTGCAGGCACATACCCTGTGGGGAGTGTGCAGGAGACAGCTAGTCGATGTTTCTAACTCTCTATCCCTCTCCCTTACTCTCTAAAAAATCAATAAAATATATTTTTTTTAAAAAAAGAAAGAAAAATACTGATGTGAGCACTGATTGGTAGCCTCCTGTACCCCCAACCGAGGATCTAGCAGGGAACAAACCTACACCCTGGGTATGTGCCCTGACTGGGAATTGAACCTGTGACCCTTTGGTACACAGGATAGTGCTCCAACCAACTCAGCCATACCAGCCAGGGCTATCCTGGTAGAAAAATTTCACTCAAGAAATAAAGACACTTTAAGGAGATGCTAATGGTTAGACTTCTTGGGGGGTGGGGGGGAGTGGGCGTAACCCAGCATTTCCAAAGATCTTTAGCAGTGATTTTCAATTGGAGTACTGCCATAGGCGCTGATGTGCCACAAGAATTTTTAAAACATGGAATGCCTGGCTATTTAAAAGACCTCTTTTCCCTTAGATTGTCAAATAAAAATATGATAGCAACCAATGCATCATAACTGGTGTGCCATGGAAGTTAGAAATTCATTTATATGTGCCATGAGATGAAAAGGGTTGAAAGTCACTGATCTATATAGCATTAAGACTAACAAGACTTTATGTAATTTTTTTGTGTTTCTCTTACTGAAAGTGGGTTTGATAATTATCATTGCTATAAGTAATGTTAATTTTTTTAATCAAGCACATTGTAGATCATGAAAATAATCATTTAAGAAATATGCCAAGCTTTTTAGGTGTAATATTTTGTATACTTGGAGGAAAATCTTGTTCTCTGTTAAATGTTTTGGCATTATAAGTCTTATAAAACAATGTTCTGAGTGCCTTTATGGCACTCAAAGAGTAGTGATAGCTACCTAATGAGTTGATTATTCTAGATGTAAAGTGATTTCTGTGTCCTCATTGTGCCTATGTAATCTTCTCTTTTTTTCTGAATTCAGTACATTTAAAGTTGAAGTTTGCCGCTAAAGATGGCAGACCCAGATGTCCTCACCGAGGTTCCTGCATCATTGAAGAGGTTAGCCAAGTATGTGATCCGGGGCTTCTATGGCATTGAGCATGCTTTGGCCTTGGACATCTTGATCCGGAACCCTTGTGTGAAAGAGGAGGATATGTTGGAGCTGCTCAAGTTTGATCGGAAGCAGCTTCGTTCAGTTTTGAATAATTTAAAGGGAGACAAGTTCATCAAATGCAGAATGAGAGTAGAGACTGCTGCAGATGGGAAAACCACTCGCCATAACTACTACTTTATCAATTATCGTACTCTTGTTAATGTGGTAAAATATAAATTGGACCACATGAGAAGGAGGATTGAAACTGATGAGAGAGATTCCACCAACCGGGCTTCCTTCAAATGTCCTGTCTGTTTTAATACTTTTACAGATTTAGAAGCTAATCAGCTCTTTGATCCCAGGACAGGTGAGACTTTTCCTTATGAATCTTTTAAGTAACTTTTAAAAATAAAATATGTATTCTTTTTTCTTAAATTGATTCATCTAATTTTTAAGCCAATCATGTATCTTACCTAATAATAGACAAACATGTAAATTGACCGTACCTTTGCTATGCTAACCAGCCAATCAGGAGAGTATGCAAATTAACCTAACAGAGATGGCGGTTAATTTGCATACGTAGGCTCCAAGCGGTGGAGCAAAATCTGATGGCCCGGGGGCCGGCGGCGCAGCACAACCTCACGGGCCCGGGGCCAGCGGCACAGCGAAGCCTCACGGCCCCGGGGCCAGCTCTGGCTGGAGCCCAGCCAGAGCGAAGGCCTGGGTGCTGGGTGCCGGAGGAAAACCAGTGCCAGCAGCCAGGGGAAAGGAAGGCCTATTGCAGGAATCTCTTCATGCTACAGGCCGCTAGTATCATAAAAGTGAATGGATTGGTGTAAATCACTATATGGTCTGTGTTAGTCTTACTGCCCTGTTTGACTGTTATTTTAGGAGCTCTTGTAAAGCCTTTCTCCTTTACAAAGGAGTGTATTCTTCCACCCATGGCCTTCCTACCTCTGTTCTGACCTCCACCCCTATTTACAGGTGCAGCTCAATCTGAAAGGTTGACTTCTCTATCACTTGAAAACTATTCTGACCATTTCACTTTTGACCTCTTCATCCAGTATATATTTAGCACCTGTTTATGCCAGTCACTGCCAGGCAGTCACAGTACAGTGCATATAAATGTTATGTTAGTGGAAGTATAAAGTGCTATCAGGAGTACATAAATAGCGCTTCTAATCTGGAATGGCCTCTGAAAGAGCTTAAGTAACAGCTGAGACTTAAAAGTAAGAGTCAGCCAGATGCAATTAGAGGGGCATCCTTTCCTTCAAATGGATGGATATTAAATCTCTTAGGCATTACTTAGTGGAAGAAAACTGTCAACAAGATACATAATTTTTTCCATTTAAATACTTTAGTTAAGGATCTTTTTAATCAACTAGAATTTACAAAACACATTTTCAAATAGTTCAGTATGTCTGGCATTAACATCAAAAACTTTAAAGTGCTGGGTTGTATAGTTATTTTGTCTTATAATTTATAAACAGGTAAAGAGACTATAGTTTTGCTAATTATTCAGTAGACAATCTGGTCTTACTTTCAAGTATAAAAATCAATAGAAAGAGTCAATGCTGT